AAGGGAGCCAAGCTCTCATTGGCTACGCGCCCCGTCCGTCCCCTCTCCCCCGCAGGCCACAACGGGTTTGGTGGAGTCTGAGGATGAGGAGAGTCTTAGCTCCCGGCTGCAGGATCTTGGGAGGGGGCCGGCGCGCGGAGGCCAGTGCAGCGAGAAGGAGGGATTAGGCGGGATGACTCATCTCTCGCCCGCTTCCTTCCGACCTCCGGTGCAGTCACTCGGGAGCGGGGGCCGTGAGAAACCCCTCCCCGCAGCGCGTGGGCTGGCGGAGGGGGCTGGTGCTTGTCGCCCGCAGTGTGCGTTTGGCGTCCAGCTCCGGTCTCCGCGCCGCCCCACCACTGGCGAGGGCTGCGCGGCGCGGGGGCCGCCCCTTGTCCTTCCGCTGCCCCTTGTCCTTCCGCCGCTGGCAGCCTGAGCCGGAGCTTCCCAGGCCTGGGATCCTGTGTGGCAGCTGGGCTTTTCTCGCCTTCCACAGAGCCGCTGAAGCCGCCCGTCTGGGAGTCTGACGGCGCTGGGCGGGAGCCCTGGCAAGACTCTCTTCGCTTCTTTCACCTTCAGTCCCTTGTTTCTAAAAGGAGATTAATAATATCGATTTCCTAGTGCTGCCGCGAGATTGGACTAGGTAATCGATGTAAAGGCTCAACATCAGTCAAAATACGTGCCCCTTTCATTTCGTGCTTTAAATTCCGGCTGGGCCCAGAGGCCTCCACGCTGTGGTGTGAACATGCCTCTCTCTCTTCACCCCCCTTCCTGTCAAAGCTGTGCTCTCACCCCGCTCAGCACCTGGCTGAGTTTTCACAAGGCCAGCAGGACCTTTGGTTCAGTTGAGGCAGGAATAGTTTGTCTATTTCTGAGTGCCCATAGTTTAGTAACTAGCTCTGTAAATTAATCACCGTGTGACTGCGGAGTCTCAGTGTTTGACTCCAAACAGCATTCTTCAATGCCTGGTATCCTGAGCATCCATCACAGCTTCCAACATGTGTGTCCTTTCTGTTTCCTCCGTGAGGTGGGTGGTGGAGTGGTGGCCACGGGCAGGGGTGATTCTACTTAGTCCCCATATGTTAAGCAGCCTTCTCCCTCTTCTCCCCAGACATTGCTGGAGATTGCTGGAGAGTCCTGCTCCTTGCCTGCAGAACTGTTCATTTGATGATGGACAGGGTGCAAAAAGGAAGGGAGGGAGGGAAGGAAGGAAAGAAAGAGGAAAATCTTTGAGTTAAGTTGTTGTTTTGTCCCCCATGGATTTGTCATCCCACTTCCCCTGGGTGATGGAGCTGCAAAGGATTACTCAAAGCCCATCTCTTCTGAGCAGTGAGAGACCCCAAAGTGGTTAGTCTCCCCCGGAATCCTCAAGCTATAGGCATCCCTTCCTTGGGAAATTAACCCTGAACTGGGATTCTCTTCCTGCATTTATTTTCCAGACTAAGAAGTTACAGGAAGAGAACATAGGTGGGGTTATAGTTTAACAATATAGGCTGGTAACTTTCAGTGAAACAAGCCAGATGACATTCCAGTAAGGCAATTAAGTGGTCCTATCAACAACAGTTTGATCTTAACAAACATTCCTTCTCTGTCCATCAATTTTCCAGTATCTACACATATCAATCAGTAACCTGTCTGTCCTTGAGCTAGCAACCTTGCTGTGCCACAAATCTTTATTTTACACCAGAGACTTTATAGCCTGAGGAAAATTTCCAGTCCTCTGCAAGGTCAATATTTGAAACTGCAAGGCTTTGGAAAACCAGGCCCGTGAAGTACATTTGCTTGATAGTATATTCCACATTAAGTGACATTCTGAGGTAGTAACTTATTTGAAATAGCACATGCCTGACTTTTGCTAAGTGATTCATGAAGTAAATGACAAAAACTCCAAGTTCTGGGCCGGCCAGGTGGCGCACTCTGTAGAGTGCGGCGCTTGGGAGTGCGGCGGTGCTCCCGCCGAGGGTTCGGATCCCATATAGAGACTGGTCCGCTCACTGGTTGAGCGCGGTGCAGGCACGACACTGAGGGTTGCGATCCTGTTGCTGGTCGTGGTATGGGCGCGACACTGAGGGTTGTGATCCCGTTACCAGTCACGAAAAAAAAAAAACAAAAAGAACTCCAAGTTCTAAGAAATCTTCCAATTTTCCATCTTCCAGAAAAGAGATAAGTTGATTATATGCAGCTACATTTATAATTTAAAAGCACTTTATTGCCACTCTCTCAAAGTTTTTATAACCCCTCCCTAGAAGAAATAGTCCTATAAATTGGGTTATCTTTCCAACACCTTCTTAAGTTGCAGTGAGAACCATAGTTGATCATTGTGTGGGGAAAAAAGTCCTCATCATTATTTAAAGCCATGTTAATCATAGATGCTATATGATTTATTTTTAACCTGGTCTTTGACTAGTTGAGACCACAGCATCCAAAGTATGTGTACTCTGTTTACAGGCATAGAATATCTTCAAGTGTGGTTGGGACTTTATCTGTCCTTGCAGGATACATCTAATTTATGGAATCCAAAAGATTTTGATTATATCAAGCAGTTAATTATTGAGAAACTGTTAGAAAGGAGTGTCAGTACCACTCATGAGTTACAATCCTTGCATGGCTTTTGTATGCATTTGGTGGTAAATCACAGTAGCTTTGAACCAGCAAGGTGAGCAGCTATTATTGTTTTTATGAGTTTGAACTTTGCTTATCACAGTATACCATCTAAGAGGTCTGTTTATTATTTAAGAGGAAAGCTTATGCTTAGTTCAAAGTAAAAGATAGTCTTAGGGAATATCTGATGGTGTAATACAGTATTGAGTTCAAAAAAGCCTTGATACAATACAGATTTATAATACAGTCAATATACAAATATTTGATCTATTACGAAGTATCTTGAGATGATTTAAGTGTTTATCTATTTGGTTGGGAATTAGCTAAATCAATCAAGCCTAGGAGTGCTCTTAACATGCCTACCATTTATTAAGAACTCGCCCTGTTCCAGGCAGTTGGTTTGTTTATTTATATGCATTACTTGGCCCAATCCCCATAATAACAAGAAGAGAAAGGTACAATTATCCTCATTTTACAGATGAGTAAAGTGAGGACTAGCAAAGATACTCGAATAAGTACTCAAAGTCAAATACTGGTGAGGCTGGGATTTGAACCCAGGCACATGTAAGTTTGTTCCTTTGTTCATTCATTCATTCAATAAATGCTGAGTTCTACTCTTTGTCAGGCTTTGTATGTGATGAATACCCAAAATGTGCTTTTGTTAACTTCTATAGTATTCCACTTATCTTTCCCAAGAGTTTATTATTTTTCTTGAATTCATTTCTCTAAAGTATTTTTGTAGGCCTTTGAAGATTTTCCCCTCATGTTGCACTATTTAGCCATAATGTACTTTAAAGTCCCCCAATAAGTTGTGTTTAATGGGGAATAAAAATCTGAATGTAATTGACGATATTATAGAAATACTATACCATTGGGGGAATATCTTCTGTCTTCCAGCTGGTGTTCAGTCTATGCCATGAAGTCCAGGGATTGATAGCCCTGTGATTTCATCATTCCTGGGGTGATTGCAGATGTTCTCATTTGTGTAAAGTGCCTGATTATCCTCTGAAACTTAGAATTCACCCAAATGATATTCTTTAGCAATGACTTGAACAAATTTAAAACACATTAGCAGCTTTTCCATTTTTTAAAAAAGATAAATGTTTTCCAATGAAAAATTGAGTTGCTTTCCTATTTGCTTTTGAGTATGATGCTTGATTATTAACACAGCAGTGTCTTTGAGTCTAAAGAATGAACACAAAGAAGAAAGGATTCTCTCTTATTTTCTCTCCCGGAGACATCTATCCTTAGTTGTAGGGAAAAAAATCAGTGGAAGAAGCTGATCATAGGCTCTAACACTTTAAGATTCTCTGATGTGTATAAAAATATTTTGTATTTCTTTAGTGATTAAGGGTATTGCGGAATGTGGT